TACATTGTTAAAGGGTTTATACTATCACTCAATTAGTAGTAGTGGTCGATCATCCTCTACTAGTAAAGGGGGGTCTGATACTATCCCTACCTTATAGAGTGGTTATAAACTCTACATTAGTGTAGTGGTCTGATACTATCACTCTACATTAGTAGAAGTGGTCTGATACTATCACTCTACTTTAAAAACGGGGGGGGGGGGCCTGGGCGGGGCCAATTGGCCCCGCGTTCTTTCCCGGGGGGGGGGGAATGGTGGGAGGAGGGAGTCAGTTTATAAGCATGCGTTTGCCGCCGGGGTTTGGGGTTCGCCCACGGGGGGCCAGTTAAAAAAAAAAAAACAAAAAAAAAACAATTTTAAAAAATTTTAATTATATCATAACGTAATCCCTCTGGATAAGGCCTGCTAAAAAGACTAAAAGTAAAAGTAAATGTTTGTATTTGGGTTTAGACCAACACACACTCTACCTTTGTAGTAGTGGTCTGAGACCCAAACCCATACTCTACTTCAGTTTTTATTCCTTGTGTCCTGCCAGTAAACCACACTCCTTATCTTCTGCTGTTGGCCCGCGCGTAAACCCCTCCTTTTCTCCGCTTTGGGGGCCGGGCATAAGAAGAACCCCCTGTCAGAGAACTTTTACCCCTCTGTCTAGAGAGACAGTGCCCGTCGTTGGAGAGACTTTACCCTCGTCTAGAGAGACTTGACCCCTCTGTCTAGAGAGTAGTGACCCTTGTCAGAAACTAGGACCCGCTGTCTAAGAGACTAGTAACCTCTGTTGAAGACTAGGACCCGTCCGTCTAGAGAGGGGACCCCGGGTTGGGCGGGGACCGTCTGCTGGAAGACTGGCCCCCGTCTGGGTTCCCCCGAAGACTAGGCCCGTCGTCTGGGGGACTATTACCTCTGTCTGGGGAGCAGTGACCCCTCTGTTGGGGAAAACTAGTGAGGGGGGGCGGCCCCTCTGTTGAGAACTATGACCCGTCTTCTGAGAGACTTGGACCCTCTGTTGGAGAACTTGACCCCCAAATTGTACCCGTCTGTCTGGGGAGCTATGACCCTCTGTCTGGGAAAGATTGCCCGCTTCTGAGAGACTGTGCCCTCTGTCTGGAGAACTATGACCGTCTGTCGGGGGCTAGTGACCCTCGTCTGGAAGATAGTGACCCGTCTGTCTGGAGAGACTAGTGACCCGTCTGTCTGGAAAGACTAGTTGACCGTCTGTCTGCAGAGACTGTGACCCGTCTGTCTGGAGAGACTAGTGACCCCGTCTGTCTGGAGAGACTAGTGACCCATCTGTCTGGAGAGACTAGTGACCCGTCTGTCTGGAGAGACTAGTGACCCGTCTGTCTGGAGAGACTAGTGACCCGTCTGTCTGGAGAGACTAGTGACCCGTCTGTCTGGAGAGACTAGTGACCCGTCTGTCTGGAGAGAAGTGACCCGTCTGTCTGGAGAGACTAGTGACCCGTCGGTCTGGAAAAGACTAGTGACCCGTCTGTCTGCAGAGACTAGTGACCCGTCTGTCTGGAGAGACTAGTGACCCGTCTGTCTGGAGAGACTAGTGACCCGTCTGTCTGGAGAGACTAGTTACCCATCTGTCTGGAGAGACTAGTGACCCGTCTGTCTAGAGAGACTAGTGACCCGTCTGTCTGCAGAGACTAGTGACCCGTCTGTCTGGAGAGACTAGTGACCCGTCTGTCTAGAGAGACTAGTGACCCGTCTGTCTAGAGAGACTAGTGACCCGTCTGTCTAGAGAGACTAGTGACCCCGTCTGTCTGGAGAGACTAGTGACCCGTCTGTCTGGAGAGACTAGTGACCCGTCTGTCTGGAGAGACTAGTGACCCGTCTGTCTAGAGAGACTAGTGACCCGTCTGTCTGGAGAGACTAGTGACCCGTCTGTCTGGAGAGACTAGTGACCCGTCTGTCTGGAGAGACTAGTGACCCGTCTGTCTAGAGAGACTAGTAAGTCTAGGATACATCAATGGTAGAGGATGGACATCTGCAATGTAGCAGCGCGTGTGTGCGTTTGATCAGTGGCTTTTACATGGAATTAATACACAGATAGATTAAACTTGCAACATTTACAAACACACACACTGCCACACAGCAACAGTGGTGTAACGCATCAGTACAGTTCAGTCATCGTTAACACTAACACACTCCATCACGCCCATCCTAACCCTCCTCTCTCTATGTTACAGTGTTCATGGAAATACTGTATACTGACTCTGCTCTGGGTGCTGTCTAGCTGGGCGTGTGTATACCAGTGGTGTAGTCAAGTCACTAAACGTCTAGTCCAAGTCCAGTCCTAAGTCTCTAGCTTTGGGTCCAAGTCCGAGAGAAAGCTAAGTATGGCTAGAAAGCTAAGTAAGGCTAGAAAGCTAAGTAGGGCTAGAAAGCTAAGTAAGGCTAGAAAGCTAAGTAGGGCTAGAAAGCTAAGTAAGGCTAGAAAGCTAAGTAATGCTAGAAAGCTAAGTAAGGCTAGAAAGCCAAGTAAGGCTAGAAAGCCAAGTAAGGCTAGAAAGCTAAGTAATGCTAGAAAGCTAAGTAAGGCTAGAAAGCCAAGTAAGGCTAGAAAGCTAAGTAGGGCTAGAAAGCTAAGTAAGGCTAGAAAGCTAAGTAATGCTAGAAAGCTAAGTAGGGCTATAAAGCTAAGTAGGGCTATAAAGCTAAGTAATGCTAGAAAGCTAAGTAGGGCTATAAAGCTAAGTATGGCTACAAAGCTAAGTAGGGCTAAGTAATGCTAGAAAGCTAAGTAGGGCTAGAAAGCTAAGTAAGGCTAGAAAGCTAAGTAATGCTAGAAAGCTAAGTAGGGCTATAAAGCTAAGTAAGGCTAGAAAGCTAAGTAATGCTAGAAAGTTAAGTAGGGCTAAGTAATGCTAGAAAGCTAAGTAGGGCTATAAAGCTAAGTAGGGCTAGAAGGCTAAGTAGGGCTAGACTGCTTATACAGTAGCTATCTAATGCAAGGAAGAGAGACTTTCTGAAAACAAAGTCACCAATCGTCGAGTCCCAGTCCAGTCACGAGTTAAGGAAATCACATGACTTGAGTCTGAGTCAAGTCTGAGTTCATGGATTCAAGTACTACAACACTGGTGTACATACTGTCAGGCTGTGTGTCTCACCGCTGAGTTACCAGATAAGGTGCTCACCAAACAATGTTGCCAAACCTTACTACTTAAAGGGGGAATGCGTTAAGCATTCCGTGTTCTCACGTACACGCGCCAGCACCACAGACCCTTAGTGTGTTCTTCCAACTAACCTGACCTGTGTTCTCCTTAGCGTGTTCTTAGCATGTGGCGTGTGTGCATGCCAGACTGTACCATATACAGTGGGGGAAAAAAGTATTTAGTCAGCCACCAATTGTGCAAGTTCTCCCACTTAAAAAGATGAGAGAGGCCTGTAATTTTCATCATAGGTACACGTCAACTATGACAGACAAATTGAGGAAAAGAAATCCGGAAAATCACATTGTAGGATTTTTAATGAATTTATTTGCAAATTATGGTGGAAAATAAGTATTTGGTCACCTACAAACAAGCAATATTTCTGGCTCTCACAGACCTGTAACTTCTTCTTTAAGAGGCTCCTCTGTCCTCCACTCGTTACCTGTATTAATGGCACCTGTTTGAATTTGTAATCAGTATAAAAGACACCTGTCCACAACCTCAAACAGTCACACTCCAAACTCCACTATGGCCAAGACCAAAGAGCTGTCAAAGGACACCAGAAACAAAATTGTAGACCTGCACCAGGCTGGAAGACTGAATCTGCAATAGGTAAGCAGCTTGGTTTGAAGAAATCAACTGTGGGAGCAATTATTAGGAAATGGAAGACATACAAGACCACTGATAATCTCCCTTGATCTGGGGCTCCACGCAAGATCTCACCCCGTGGGGTCAAAATGATCACAAGAACGGTGTGCAAAAATCCCAGAAAAACACGGGGAAACCTAGTGAATGACCTGCAGAGAGCTGGGACCAAAGTAACAAAGCCTACCATCAGTAACACACTACGCCGCCAGGGACTCAAATCCTGTGTCCCCCTGCTTAAGCCAGTACATGTCCAGGCCCGTCTGAAGTTTGCTAGAGTGCATTTGGATGATCCAGAAGAGGATTGGGAGAATGTCATTTAGTCAGATGAAACCAAAATATAACTTTTTGGTAAAAACTCAACTCGTCGTGTTTGGAGGACAAAGAATACTGAGTTGCATCCAAAGAACACCATACCTACTGTGAAGCATGGGGGTGGAAACATCATGCTTTGGGGCTGTTTTTCTGCAAAGGGACCAGGACGACTGATCCGTGTAAAGGAAAGAATGAATGGGGCCATGTATCGTGAGATTTTGAGTGAAAACCTCCTTCCATCAGCAAGGGCATTGAAGATGAAACGTGGCTGGGTCTTTCAGCATGACAATGATCCCAAACACACCGCCCGGGCAACGAAGGAGTGGCTTCGTAAGATGCATTCAAGGTCCTAGAGTGGCCTAGCCAGTCTCCAGATCTCAACCCCATAGAAAATCTTTGGAGGGAGTTGAAAGTCCGTGTTGCCCAGCGACAGCCCCAAAACATCACTGCTCTAGAGGAGATCTGCATGGAGGAATGGGCCAAAATACCAGCAACAGTGTGTGAAAGTCTTGTGAAGACTTACAGAAAACGTTTGACCTTTGTCATTGCCAACAAAGGGTATATAACAAAATATTGAGAAACTTTTGTTATTGACCAAATACTTATTTTCCACCATAATTTGCAAATAAATTCATAAAAAATCCTACAATGTGATTTTCTGGATTTTTTTTCTCATTTTGTATCTCATAGTTGATGTGTACCTATGATGACAATTACAGGCCTCTCTCATCTTTTTAAGTGGGAGAACTTGCACAATTGGTGGCTGACTAAATACTTTTTTTCCCCACTGTATGTGTAGTGTCTGGGAGGTGTTAGTTTCTGAGACACCCCCCCTCTCTGCCCTGTCCTTCCGTAGGACCCAAAACACCCCCCTTCCTCGCAGCCCTAATGGTCCGGTCTGGTCTAGGTAGAATCATCTCCTCCCCTCTGCGTTCCGGCTCTAAAGGTGGGCGTGGCCGGGTGGTACAGCCCAACACCCCCGGCTCTAAAGGTGGGCGTGGCCACAGGTAGGGTGTCTGTCACCTGGCTGTCTGTCTGTCATCACCCATGGAGACCACCTGGAACTGCTGGAGACCACCTAAGCCCCCCCCCCCCCCCACCACCCGTCCCCCCGTCACCTAAGCCCTGTCACTCCATCCACAACACCCGCTATAGGACCACATTCTGTATAGGACATCCATCTACAGTAGCCATCTGACATAGATTCTCTGTGTAATGTGGTTGCTGTGGGTCTCTGTGTTATGTGGTTGCTGTGGGTCTCTGTGTGTGGATGTTGGTGCATGTCCATGACTCACTCACTTCGCTCGATTCGCATGATTCATCTGGTTTATCTGATTCTTCTAGTCTGCTTGTTCCACCTGATTCAGCTGGTTCACATGATTCATCTGGTTTATCTGATTCTTCTAGTCTGCTTGGTCCACCTGATTCAGGTCTGTGTTGGTGACCCACAGCTCTCCTTCTCTTCTTTATTACCTGAACCCTCTCCTCTCCTCTCTAGATATCAACGCCCAGGCTAGGAAGCTACAGAGGAACCGAGCTAAAGGAACTCTGACACTACCTCGACCTGGGACCACGTTCTGCCGTTCCCTCAGTGAGACCAGTCTCAACCAGGTACACCATGACTACTATTACTACTATTACTACTATTATAACTATGACTACTATTATAACTATGACTACTATTATAACTATTACTACTATTATGACTATGACTACTATTATAACTATTATAACTATTATGACTATGACTACTATTATAACTATGACTACTATTATAACTATGACTACTATTATAACTATTACTACTATTATGACTATGACTACTATTATAACTATTATAACTATTATGACTATGACTACTATTATAACTATTACTACTATTATAACTATGACTACTATTATAACTATGACTACTATTATAACTATGACTACTATTATAACTATGACTACTATTATAACTATGACTACTATTATAACTATGACTACTATTTTGACTATTATAACTATTATGACTATGACTACTATTATAACTATTATAACTATTATGACTATGACTACTATTATAACTATGACTACTATTATAACTATGACTACTATTATAACTATTACTACTATTATGACTATGACTACTATTATAACTATTATAACTATTATGACTATGACTACTATTATAACTATTACTACTATTATAACTATGACTACTATTATAACTATGACTACTATTATAACTATGACTACTATTATAACTATGACTACTATTATAACTATGACTACTATTTTGACTATTATAACTATTATAACTATGACTACTATTATTACTATTAATACTATTATGACTACTATTATAACTATGACTACTATTATAACTATGACTACTATTATAACTATGATATAACTATGACTACTATTATAACTATGACTACTATTATAACTATGACTACTATCATAACTATGACTACTATTTTGACTATTATAACTATTATAACTATGACTACTATTATTACTATTAATACTATTATGACTATTGCTACTATTATAACTATTACTACTATGACGACTATTATTACTATTATAACTATTATAACTATGACTACTATTATTACTATTATAACTATTATAACTATGACTACTATTATTACTACTATTATAACTATTACAACTATTATAACTATGACTACTATTATAATTATGACTACTATTATAACTATGACTACTATTATAACTATGACTACTATTATGACTATTACTACTATTACTACTATTATAATTATGACTACTATTATAACTATTGCTACTATTATAACTATGACTACTATGACTACTATTATAACTACTACTATTATGACTATTACTACTATAATAACTATTACTACTATTACTAATGTGACTGTAAAATCTGCTTTTTGATTTGTCAATAACTCAGCCACCTTTTGACGAATCTCTTAGCTTTTCTCCAACTAAGTTCATACATTTAATTTGGTGTCAGTCCTATGGTTCATGAGAAGAATGTTTTAGAAGTATTTCTTTTTAAATGTAGCATAGAGTGGGGGAAAAAAGTATTTAGTCAGCCACCAATTGTGCAAGTTCTCCCACTTAAAAAGATGAGAGAGGCCTGTACTTTTCATCATAGGTACACATCAACTATGACAGACAAATAGAGAAAAAAAAAATCCAGAAAATCACATTGTAGGATTTTTAATGAATTTATTTGCAAATTATGGTGGAAAATAAGTATTTGGTCACCTACAAACAAGCAAGATTTCTGGCTCTTACAGACCTGTAACTTCTTCTTTAAGAGGCTCCTCTGTCCTCCACTCGTTACCTGTATTAATGGCACCTGTTTGAACTTGTTATCAGTATAAAAGACACCTGTCCATAACCTCAAACAGTCACACTCCAAACTCCACTATGGCCAAGACCAAAGAGCTGTCAAAGGACACCAGAAACAAAATTGTAGACCTGCACCAGGCTGGGAAGACTGAATCTGCAATAGGTAAGCAGCTTGGTTTGAAGAAATCAACTGTGGGAGCAATTATTAGGAAATGGAAGACATACAAGACCACTGATAATCTCCCTCGATCGCATTATCTCACCCCGTGGGGTCAAAATGATCACAAGAACGGTGAGCAAAAATCCCAGAACCACACGGGGGGACCTAGTGAATGACCTGCAGAGAGCTGGGACCAAAGTAACAAAGCCTACCATCAGTAACACACTACGCCGCCAGGGACTCAAATCCTGCAGTGCCAGACGTGTCCCCCTGCTTAAGCCAGTACATATCCAGGCCCGTCTGAAGTTTGCTAGAGTGCATTTGGATGATCCAGAAGAGGATTGGGAGAATGTCATATGGTCAGATGAAACCAAAATAGAACTTTTTGGTAAAAACTCAACTCGTCGTGTTTGGAGGACAAAGAATGCTGAGTTGCATCCAAAGAACACCATACCTACTGTGAAGCATGGGGGTGGAAACATCATGCTTTGGGGCTGTTTTTCTGCAAAGGGACCAGGATGACTGATCCGTGTAAAGGAAAGAATGAATGGGGCCATGTATCGTGAGATTTTGAGTGAAAACCTCCTTCCATCAGCAAGGGCATTGAAGATGAAACGTGGCTGGGTCTTTCAGCATGACAATGATCCCAAACACACCGCCCGGGCAATGAAGGAGTGGCTTCGTAAGAAGCATTTCAAGTTCCTGGAGTGGCCTAGCCAGTCTCCAGATCTCAACCCCATAGAAAATCTTTGGAGGGAGTTGAAAGTCCATGTTGCCCAGCGACAGCCCCAAAACATCACTGCTCTAGAGGAGATCTGCATGGAGGAATGGGCCAAAATACCAGCAACAGTGTGTGAAAACCTTGTGAAGACTTACAGAAAACGTTTAACCTGTGTCTTTGCCAACAATGGGTATATAACAAAGTATTGAGAAACTTTTGTTATTGACCAAATACTTATTTTCCACCATAATTTGCAAATACATTCATTAAAAATCCTACAATATGATTTTCTTGATTTTTTTTTCTAATTTTGTCTGTCATAGTTGACTTGTACCTATGATGAAAATTACAGGCCTCTCTCATCTTTTTAAGTGGGAGAACTTGCACAATTGGTGGCTGACTAAATACTTTTTCCCCCCACTGTATTAGCATATTTGCTAATACTACTACTGGTATAATGTGGCAATCTGTGAATGCGTCAACATTATTTTCTCAAACTCTTTAGGGACTTTTGTGCAAAGACCAAATTTGGAGTGAATCTGACTTTTAGTCAATCAGAAGATTTTTTTAACGATTATTTTAAGCATTGGTGTTAGTCATAAAAGTAAATTGTTAATAGTTTCCTTATTTAAAAAAAAAGATATCAATGAAAACATAACCTGGTTCATCATGGTCATGTCTTCGATGACCCTAAAATGTTTCAAGTTGATGGTCCATTGTGGAGTGGATTTAAATGGACACGTAAAATCTGATTTCCTGATTGAATCAATAACATTTACATTTACATTTTAGTCATTTAGCAGACGCTCTTATCCAGAGCGACTTACAGGAGCAATTAGGGTTAAGTGCCTTGCTCAAGGGCACATTAACGTCATTTAGCAGACGCTCTTAGCCAGAGCGACTCACAAATTGGTGCGTTCACCCTATAGCCAGTGGGATAACCACTTTACAATTTGGGGGGACTCAGCCATCTCTTAACCAATCAAACTACGTTAAGATATGTACCATGGGCCTACATACCGATGGTGTTATTTGGACTTATGGTTAATGAGAATACGTTTTTCAAAGGTTTTCCAGAATTTCCAAAATGGAGGAAAAACTGAACTTTGGGGTAAATTTGTTCAGCATGAGGAAATACACCTACGTGCAAAGTTTCAAGTCTCCAGGTCAAACGGGGCGGCGGATATGAGGGTTGAAGTGAGGCTGTTTTATAACAGCGCCCCCTATAGGCCAAGTTACTCATGACCTCTAGTTTCTGTGTGCCAAATTAGAAGAAAAAAAGTTACCAATCTATGCTTGAGATATTATAACAAAAAAATTTACCCCTAATTTTTCCAACTAATATCACTATTAGTTAGTAGCCTAGCAGTTAAGAGCGTTGGGCCAGTAACTCGCTGGTTCGAATCCCCGAGCCGACTAGGTGAAAAATCTCTTGATGTGTCCTTGAGCAAAGCACTTAACCCTAATTGCTCCTGTAAGTCGCTTTAGCGTCTGCTAAATGCCTCAAATGTAAATGTAACTAATATAACTATTCCAACTAATATAACTACTGATCCAGCTAGCCGGCTCCATTCCAGGAGCAGCACATGGTGTATATGTTGTCATATATTGGGTTATATTTTGTTATGTACATCCATTAGAATTATTACAACCTTTTTTTATATAATGTTATTATATTGAACGTAATTACGGAATGTGTCTGATTTTGATTCTTAAATGTTATTGCATTATTATATATTATTATTATGATACTAATTTAAACTGCTGTATCCCCTGTACTAACCAGTTGGGGGGTGCAGACGAGCCGAAGCGCTACTACTCCACGCTGCCGGGACCTCTGAGGACGAGGGGGAGTCAGGAGGGGGCCACGACAAGGAGGAAGGAGGGAGAGGGGGGAGGAACTGGGGGAGGAGGGGTGAGACATTCCCTCTACCAGTCCCCTCACCTGCTGCTGCTGCAGGGATACAACAGACAGGTACCAACTACACTTCCTGACTGATGCATGTTGGGATATAGGATACAACAGACAGACAGGTACCAACTACACTACCTGACTGATACATGTTGGGATATATGATACAACAGACAGACAGGTACCAACTACACTTCCTGACTGATGCATGTTGGGATATATGATACAACAGACAGGTACCAACTACACTTCCTGACTGATGCATGTTGGGATATATGATACAACAGACAGGTACCAACTACACTTCCTGACTGATGCATGTTGGGATATATGATACAACAGACAGGTACCAACTACACTTCCTGACTGATGCATGTTGGGATATATGATACAACAGACAGACAGGTACCAACTACACTTCCTGACTGATGCATGTTGGGATATATGATACAACAGACAGACAGGTACCAACTACACTTCCTGACTGATGCATGTTGGGATATATGATACAACAGACAGGTACCAACTACACTTCCTGACTGATGCATGTTGGGATATATGATACAACAGACAGACAGGTACCAACTACACTTCCTGACTGATGCATGTTGGGATATAGGATACAACAGACAGGTACCAACTACACTTCCTGACTGATACATGTTGGGATATAGGATACAACATAATGGTACCAACTACACTTCCTGACTGATGCATGTTGGGATATAGGATACAACAGACAGACAGGTACCAACTACACTTCCTGACTGATGCATGTTGGGATATAGGATACAACAGACAGACAGGTACCAACTACACTTCCTAACTGATGCATGTTGGGATATAGGATACAACAGACAGGTACCAACTACACTTCCTGACTGATGCATGTAGGGATATATGATACAACAGACAGACAGGTACCAACTACACTACCTGTAGTTGGTACCTGTCTGTAACTTCTTTTCACTTTGAAAATGTGGAGTAGGTTGTGTAGATCTGTAGAATATTTTTAAATAAAATGTTAAGGCAGCAAAATTTGAAAAATTTCAAGTGGGTGTGGACTTTCTATAGGCTGTATATTGTTAGATATTGTGTTATTTATTTATATACACTGCATTCGGGAAGTATTCAGACCCCTTGACATTTTCCACATGTTGTTACGTTACAGCCTTATTCTAAAATTTATTAAATTGTATTTTTTCCTCATCAATCTACACACAATACCCCATATTGACAAAGCAAAAACCCTTTACTCAGTACTTTGTTGAAGAAACTTTGGCAGCGATTACAGCCTCGAATCTTCTTGGGTATGACGCTACAAGCTTGGCACACCTGTATTTGTGGAGTTTCTCTCAAGCTCTGTCAGGTTGGATGGGGAGCGTTGCTGGGCTCTGGCTGGGCCACTCAAGGACATTCAGAGACTTTTCCCGAAGCCACTCCTGCGTTGTTTTAGCTGTGTGTTTAGGGTCGTTGTCCTGTTGGAAGGTGCTTATGGCCTTATACAGCTGGTTGAGTGCGGTCTTAGTGCCAGCGTCGGTTTGTGGTGGTAAATAGATGAAAACTCTCTTGGTAGATAGTGTGATCTACATGAGGTACTCTACAAGGGGCGGCAGGTAGCTTAGTGGTTAAGAGCGTAGTGCCAGTAACCGAAAGGTCGCTGGTTCTAATCCCCGAGCTGACTAGGTGAAAAAGCTGTCGATGTGCCCTTGAGCAAGGCACTTAACCATAATTGCTCCTGTAAGTCGCTCTGGATAAGAGCGTCTGCTAAATGACTAAAATGTAATGTAAAATGTAAAATACCTCGAGACTACCTTAATATTAGACATCGTGCACCAGCTGTTACTGACAAATAGACCCCCCCCCCCCCCCCCCCCTCGTCTTACTGGACTTAGCTGTTCTGTCCTGCCGATGCACGGAAAACCCAGCCAACTGTATATTCTCCGTGTCGTCGTTCAGCCACCACACGGTGAAACATAAGAAGTTACAGTTTTTAATGTCCCGTTGGTAGGATAGTCTCGAACGGAGCTCATCCAGTTTATTCTCTAGTGATTGCACGTTGGCCAATAGAACGGATGGTAGAGGGGGGTTACCCACTCGCCAACAAATTCTCACAAGGCACCCTGATCTGACCTTATCTGACCTGATCTCTGCCCCCTGTATCTCACAAGGCACCCTGATCTGACCTGATCTCTGCCCCCTGTATCTCACAAGGCACCCTGATCTGACCTGATCTCTGCCTCCTGTATCTCACAAGGCACCCTGATCTGACCTGATCTCTGCCCCCTGTATCTCACAAGGCCCCGTGATCTGACCTGATCTCTGCCTCCTGTATCTCACAAGGCACCCTGATCTGACCTGATCTCTGCCCCCTGTATCTCACAAGGCCCCGTGATCTGACCTGATCTCTGCCTCCTGTATCTCACAAGGCACCCTGATCTGACCTGATCTCTGCCCCCTGTATCTCACAAGGCCCCCTGATCTGACCTGATCTCTGCCCCCTGTATCTCACAAGGCCCCCTGATCTGACCTGATCTCTGCCCCCTGTATCTCACAATGCACCCTGATCTGACCTGATCTCTGCCCCCTGTATCTCACAATGCCTCCTGATCTGACCTGATCTCTGCCCCCTGTATCTCACAAGGCACCCCGATCTGACCTGATCTCTGCCCCCTGTATCTCACAATGCCTCCTGGTCTGACCTGATCTCTGCCCCCTGTATCTCACAAGGCACCCTGATCTGACCTGATCTCTGCCCCCTGTATCTCACAAGGCCCCCTGATATGACCTGATCTCTGCACCCTGTATCTCACAAGGCCCCCTGATCTGACCTGATCTCTGCCCCCTGTATCTCACAATGCACCCTGATCTGACCTGATCTCTGCCCCCTGTATCTCACAAGGCCCCCTGATCTGACCTGATCTCTGCCCCCTGTATCTCACAAGGCCCCGTGATCTGACCTGATCTCTGCCTCCTGTATCTCACAAGGCACCCTGATCTGACCTGATCTCTGCCCCCTGTATCTCACAAGGCCCCCTGATCTGACCTGATCTCTGCCCCCTGTATCTCACAAGGCCCCCTGATCTGACCTGATCTCTGCCCCCTGTATCTCACAAGGCCCCCTGATCTGACCTGATCTCTGCCCCCTGTATCTCACAAGGCACCCTGATCTGACCTGATCTCTGCCCCCTGTATCTCACAAGGCCCCCTGATCTGACCTGATCTCTGCACCCTGTATCTCACAAGGCCCCCTGATCTGACCTGATCTCTGCCCCCTGTATCTCACAATGCACCCTGATCTGACCTGATCTCTGCCCCCTGTATCTCACAAGACACCCTGATCTGACCTGATCTCTGCCCCCTGTATCTCACAAGGCCCCCTGATCTGACCTGATCTCTGCCCCCTGCATCTCTTTCTTTTCTTCATGCGAATGACGGGGATTTGGGCCTGGTCTCGGAGAAGCAGTATATCCTTCGCGTCAGACTCATTAAAGACCAGAGAATCTTGTTTCTCATGGTCTGGGAATCCTTTAGGTGCCTTTTGGCAAACTCCAAGCGGGGTGTCATGTGCCTTTTACTGAGGAGTGGCTTCCGTCTGGCCACTCTACCATAAAGGCCTGATTGGTGGAGTGCTGCAGAGGTGGTTGTCCTTCTGGAAGGTTCTCCCATCTCCACAAAGGAACTCTGGAGCTCTGTCAGAGTGACCATCGGGTTCTTGGTCACCTCCCTGACCAAGGACCTTCTCCCCCGATTGCTCAGTTTGGCCAGGCGGTCAGCTCTAGGAAGAGTCTTGGTGGTTCCAAACTTCTTCCTTTTAAGAATGATTGAGGCCACTGTGTTCTTGGGGACCTTTGCTCTGACATGCACTGTCACCTGTGGGACCTTATATAGACAGGTGTGTGCCTTTCCAAATCATGTCCAATGAATTGAATTTACCACAGGTGGACTCCAATCAAATTGTAGAAACATCTAAAGGATGATCAATGGAAACAGGATGCACCTAAGCTCAATTTCGATTCTCATAGCAAAGGATATTTCTGTTTTTTATTTGTAATACATTTGCAAACATTTCTAAAAACCTGTTTTCACTTTGTCATTATGGGGTATTGTGTGTACAGTCGTGGTCAAAAGTTTTGAGAATGACATAAGTATTGGTCTTCACAAAGTTAGCTGCTTCAGTGTTATGAGATATATTTGTCAGATGTTACTATGGTATACTGAAGTATAATTACAAGTATTCCATAAGTGTCAAAGGCTTTCATTGACAATTACATTAAGCTTATGCAAAGAGTCAATATTTGCAGTGTTGACCCTTCTTTTTCAAGACCTCTGCAATCCGCCCTGGCATGCTGTCAATTAACTTCTGGGCCCCATCCTGTTTGATGGCAGCCCATTCTTGCATAATCAATGCTTGGAGTTTGTCAGAATTTGTGGGTTTTTGTTTGTCCACACGCCTCTTGAGGATCGACCACAAGTTCTCAATGGGATTAAGGTCTGGGGAGTTTCCTGGCCATGGACCCAAAATGTTGATGTTTTGTTCCCCGAGCCACTTAGTTATCACTTTTGCCTTATGGCAAGGTGCTCCATCATGCTGGAAAATGCATTGGTCGTCACCAAACTGTTCTTGGATGGTTGGGAGAAGTTGCTCTCGGAGGATGTGTTGGTACCATTCTTTATTCATGGATGTGTTCTTAGGCAAAATTGTGAGTGAGCCCACTCCCTTGGTTGAGAAGCAACCCCACACATGAATGGTCTCAGGATGCTTTACTGTTGGCATGAAACAGGACTGATGGTAGCGCTCACCTTGTCTTCTCCGGACAAGGTGTTTTCCGGATGCCCCAAACAATCGGAAAGGGGATTCATCAGAGAAAATGACTTTACCCCAGTCCTCAGCAGTCCAATCCCTGTACCTTTTGCAGAATATCAGTCTGTCCCTGATATTTTTCCTGGAGAGAAGTGGCTTCTTTGCTGCCCTTCTTGTCACCAGGCCATCCTCCAAAAGTCTTTGCCTCACTGTGCGTGCAGATGCACTCACACCTGCCTGCTGCCATTCCTGAGCAAGCTCTGCACTGGTGGTGCCCTGATCCCGCAGCTGAATCAACTTTAGGAGATGGTCCTGGCACTTGCTGGACTTTCTTGGGCGTCCTGATGCCTTCTTCACAACAATTGAACCTCTCTCCTTGGAGTTCTTGATGATCCGATAAATGGTTGATTTAGGTGCAATCTTACTAGCAGCAATATCCTTGCCTGTGAAGCCCTTTTTGTGCAAAGCAATGATGACGGCATGGTTAACAGAGGAAGAACAATGATTTCAAGCACCACCCTCCTTTTAAATCTTCTAACTCAATCAGCATGACAGAGTGATCTCCAGCCTTGTCCTCGTCAACACTCTCACCTGTGTTAACGAGAGAATCACTGACATGATGGCAGCTGGTCCTTTTGTGGCAGGGCTGAAATGCAGTGGAAATGTTTTTTTGGGATTAAGTTCATTTTCATGGCACAGAGGGACTTTGCAATTAATTGAAATTCATCTGATCACTCTTCATGACATTCTGGAGGATATGCAAATTGCCATCATCAAAACTGAGGCAGCAGACTTTGTGAAAATAGTATTTGTGTCATTCTCAAAACTTTTGACCACGACCATTGATGAGTAAAAAAAAAAATATTCAATCAATTTTAGAATAAGGGTGTAACGTAACAAAATGTGGAAAAAGGGAAGGGGTCTGAATACTTTCCTAATGTACTGTATATAATATATATTGTGTTCTATTTGCCAGGACTGCCTTGTGTACCTGTTGAACAGAGAGCAGCACACTGTGGGTCAGGAGACCCCTTCGGCCCGTCCCAACATCTGCCTGTCCTCTCCTGACATCCTGCCCCTCCACTGTCGCCTCCACCGCGTCCCCGCCCCCCGTCGCCATGGCAGCACCCCCGACAACAACAACCCCTCTGCAGCCGCCGCCGTCGCCGGGGATGACCGCTTCTGCGTTGCCGTGGAGCCCGTCCCCCACGCTACGGTCCTGGTCAACTTCTCCCGGTGCGAGCGTTCCACCCAGCTTCGCCATGGCGACCTGCTGTCGTTCGGAGCCCACTACATCTTCCTTTATAAGGACCCAACGGGCGCCAAGCCACTCCCCTCCCAGACGCTGGCACGCCTCCGAACACTGGGGCAGCTGTACGAGACTGGGGGAGACGGAGGAGGGGTGGAGACGGAGGGGGGAGGGACCTGTAAGATGTGTGGCTCATTGTTAAAGGACAGGGGGGCGTTGTCCTCCCAAACCGGCCCCCCCGCCAGGCGGAGCTTCAAACCACACCTGGTGAAACCCCGAGGCGGGGGGGTGGGGGGGGCAGGGGTAGGAAACACGATCTTGGCGGGACAGAACCAGAAGAGACGGCTACAGCTAGACTTTGAACAGGTAAATAAATATATGTTGTAAATATATGTTGTTGTAGAGTAATCAGTGAATGTGTTTATCCTGTTGTCATGTGTTGTCACACCAATGTTTATTGAGTTCAACTGAACTGAATCAAACTGAACTGAATCAAACTGAACCGAATCAAACTGAACTGAATCAAACTGAACTGAATCCCATTGTACTTGATTCGGGCAGGCCCACGAGGACGCCCTGGTGAGCAGGATCATGTCGCTGATCGAGCCGGGCGGTGACGACCACAAGTTAGCCCCTGCCTACCTGCTGTGTCTCTGCATACAGCACTCTGCCTCCGCCTTCCCACCGGGCTGCTTCGGCAAACTGCTGCTGAAGATAGTACGACACATACAGACCATCTCCTGGGTGAGAGGGAGGGGCCTAGAGGGAGAGGGAGGGGCCTAGAGGGAGAGGGAGGGGTTTGGAGGGAGAGGGAGGGGTTTGGAGGGAGAGGGAGGGGCCTAGAGGGAGAGGGAGGGGCCTAGAGGGAGACGGAGGGGCCTAGAGGGAGAGGGAGGGATTTTAGAGGGAGAGGGAGGGGTAGGAGAGGTTAAGGTGTAGACATGTTTTTTTTTATTTATATTTTTTTATTTTTTTTATTTTTTTTTAGGGGGTTGATCAGCTTTAATATTGCAGATAGATTAACTTCCATCAATGTAATTGTCTGCATCACTTCCAATCCCCATATGGTTTTTTTCTCGCAAATATATATATATATATATATATATATATATAATAATAATAATAATATGCCATTTAGCAGACGCTTTTATCCAAAGCGACTTACAGTCGTGCGTGCATACATTTTTTTTTTGTGTATGGGTGGTCCCGGGGATCGAACCCACTACCTTGGCGTTACAAGCGCCGTGCTCTACCAGCTGAGCTACAGAGGACAACATATATATATATGTACACATACATACATACACATACATACATATATACATACATATATACACATACATACACATTTCCTTTAAAAAAATATATTTCCCTTTATTACTTTCCAACCCCACCACCCCTTCCCTAATTGGAGTAAACTAGTGAACAACAACGCTTAGGCCTCTACTTCCAGCTGATACATACTATATACATTTTATGGACATGTTTTTACTTGTCCTGAGAAACATTAGACAAACTTGGGCCTTTCATTAAGAATAAGAAGTGATGGGAAGTCTGGCTCTCTCTGCTGACTCGGATCTGTTCAACTCGTTCGGGCAAAATAACAAATCTTTCGACTCATTTCGTTCATTTGTTTCGGTATGATGCACGATGAACAAAAAACTGGACAGAATAATACTTCTACAAGCCTCTCGTTCACCACAGGGGGGGCGGGGCTTATTGGAGCTGTCGTTTGTGACTGAGACTTACAAAAGTGTGCTTCAAACAATGTGCATTTGTGATTGCTAGCCATACATAATACGATTATTTATTAATACCTTTTGAAATGATGTCTAGTTGCGGCCACATCGGGACTATATTGTGAACGACTCTTGGCGGGATGCTTGACTGCCGCAAGGGTGATTAGCACAGTAGGCCTATCATTCGCGAACTGCAGGAGCCCCCCCCCCCACAAACGATTCGTTCTCGAGTTCGGGTTTGTTGAGCAGAAGGCTGTGTATGTTTTCGTTCGACAAAGCTGCGTCCATCACAACGTTCAATGATCATGTAAATTGCATTCATTCTTGCACCATGCGGTCAATGATCAGTTGTTTAAACGTATGTTTCTGCTCTATGGTGCCTGCAGCATCATCTGTTTCCCCTCATTGCACCTGACAGACTGTTGCTGGTCGGAGCACGTCTCTGGAGCCGCTGGGCCGGAGGAGCTCATATTAATCCTGCTGTGGAATTCATTGCTGCCAGCAGGTCAAACCAAATGACTCGGGGAAAAAAACGAATCATGACTCTCGAGTCAGTAAAAATAGTAGTTCAAAAAAGCTCTAATCGTTGGCGAACTGCACATCACTAATAATAAGGGCTTTGTTTTACGGTTTAAGATCATTATTCTGGTTGACTTGCTGAAGGAATTGATCAGATTACAGGATCTGAATGGTTTGAACTCTTAGCTGTTGCTGCACTTGTGGTGTAACTTCAACTTCTTATCCACATGATGACAGAGGTTAGAGTTCAGGGGTTAGGGTTAGACAGAGTAGGGGTTAGGGTTCAGGGGTTAGGGTTAGACAGAGAGAGGGTTAGGGTTCAGGGGTTAGGGTTAGACAGAGAGAGGGTTAGGGTTCAGGGTTAGACAGAGAGAGGGTTAGGGTTTAGGGTTAGACAGAGTAGGGGTTAGGGTTCAGGGTTAGACAGAGTAGAGGTTAGGGTTCAGGGTTAGACAGAGTAGAGGTTAGGGTTCAGGGTTCAGGGGTTAGACAGAGTAGGGGTTAGGGTTCAGGGTTAGACAGAGTAGGGGTTAGGGTTCAGGGGTTAGGGTTCAGGGTTTAGGGTTAGACAGAGTAGAGGTTAGGGTTCAGGGTTAGACAGAGTAGAGGTTAGGGTTCAGGGTTAGACAGAGTAGGGGTTAGGGTTCAGGGGTTAGGGTTCAGGGGTTAGGGTTAGACAGAGTAGAGGTTAGGGTTCAGGGTTAGACAGAGTAGAGGTTAGGGTTCAGGTTAGACAGAGTAGGGTTAGGGTTCAGGGGTTAGGGTTCAGGGTTAGGGTTTAGACAGAGTAGAGGGTTAGGGTTTCGGGTTAGACAGAGTAGAGGTTAGGGTTCAGGTTTAGACAGAGTAGGGGTTAGGTTCAGGGGTTAGGGTTTAGGGTTTAGGGTTAGACAGAGAGAGGGTTAGGGTTTAGGGTTTAGGGTTAGACAGAGAGAGGAGGGTTAGGGTCTCAGGGTTTAGGGTTAGACAGAGAGAGGGTTAGGGTCTCAGGGTTTAGGGTTAGACAGAGAGAGAGAGGGTTAGGGTCTCAGGGTTTAGGGTTAGACAGAGAGAGGGTTAGGGTCTCAGGGTTTAGGGTTAGACAGAGAGAGGGTTAGGGTCTCAGGGTTTAGGGTTAGACAGAGAGAGGGTTAGGGTTCAGGGTTTTAGGGTTAGACAGAGAGAGGGTTAGGGTTCAGGGTTTAGGGTTAGACAGAGAGAGGGTTAGGGTCTCAGGGTTAGGGTTAGACAGAGAGAGGTTAGGGTCTCAGGGTTTAGGAGGACAGAGAGAGGGTTAGGGTCTCAGGGTTTAGGGTTAGACAGAGAAGGTAGGTGGTCTCAGGGTTTAGGGTAGACAGAGAGAGGGTTAGGGTCTCAGGGTTTAGGGTTAGACAGAGAGAGGGTTAGGGTCTCAGGGTTTAGGGTTAGACAGAGAGAGGGTTAGGGTCTCAGGGTTTAGGGTTAGACAGAGAGAGGGTTAGGGTCTCAGGGTTTAGGGTTAGACAGAGAGAGGGTTAGGTCCATTATTGACAGAGGAGGGTTAGGGCTCAGGGTTTAGGTAGACAGAGAGAGGGTTAGGGTCTCGGTTAGGTTAGCAGAAGGTTGGGTCTCAGGGTTTAGGGTTAGACGAGAGAGAGGGTTAGGGTCATTTGTCAGGGTTTCAGGGTTTTAGACAGAGAGAGGGTTAGGTCTCAGGTTTAGGGTGCAAGAGGGTTAGGTTCGGTTTAGGTGACAGAGAGG